GGACTCTATGGTAGTTGTCATTTGTGCTGTTTTAATGTCAGGTTCAGTCAGTGTCAGAATTTTGCTTTTTGCTTTTTGAATACTCGCTTCTAGAGCCCCTGGTGTTTCATCAGAGATAGCAGAGCTTGCTCCCAGTTGCACTACCTCAATATCAGCACTAGATCCCTTTGGATCTGTTACCACTTTTGACGCTAAAACATCAGCTTCAATTGGGAGAGTTTTAAAAGTGAATCTTGGTATTTTTAGTTTGGGAATTCTCACGATTACTTCTGGGCCATGTTGTGATTGGTCCACTGTTTCCCCTATTATTCTGGTAGATGCTTCCATATAATCTAGAGCTGGACTTTTCAGGCCAATAGATCCTTCTGGTTTTTGTAACTGCATCTCTGCTGTGCCTATATCACTTTTAGATACTGACTCAGCTTCTGACTTTGTCCCATTGATATTATCTTCAAAACCCTTGATTTCTGAATGAAACATTCCAAACTTCGGAATCTTAAACTTGTATGCTTTAGTTTTACTTGTTTCTGCTCTATCTTCTACTTGCACTTCCACTCCTGCAGACACATCCTTTTCAACACTTTTCACTTGAAATTTCATTTCAGGATCTACTCTAGTAATTTTAACATTCGTCTTCACTCCTGGAACTTCTACCTTTAGATCTTCCAGCTTAGCAGTAACGTAAGTACCATCTTCTGATCCCTTTGTTGTAGACCATTCACACGTAGTCCTTTTTAACTGACTTTCTTCCCTGTCTTTTCCTATAATTTTCACCTCACCCTTTATCTTTCCTTTTTTAATTGTTGCCTCTTTATTTTGAATATCTAACTCTTCCTTTGGAAGACTAACATCTATTTTCGCCTGTGTTGCATCCAGAGTAACTTCAGTTGATGATGGTTTGCATCCTACTCCTGAAGTCTCTAACTTAGTGGAACTTTCTACGTTTGGGACTTCCATATCCTGCGGTTTGACTTTATGCTCTTGATAAGTCAGAGTACCTGTAGGAAACTCACTTATCAAACTGTTGTCTTTGTCAATTTCTGAAGCCCTTAGGTATGATTTAGGCAATTCTGCTGCAGACACTGTGAATTCTGAAGTATGCATTTTTTGTCCTTCTGCACCACGCTTAACTATGTCTGCGTAAGTTTCAGTTTTTGGAATATTCACTCTACTATCTGTTCTTTCTGTGGACAATGAAATATCTCCTTCCATCTTCGACAAGCTAACATCAGAACTCTTTACAGAATCTTCAAATTTTTTAATCCCTTCTTTTCCAATAGTGATTTCAGCAACTGCATGTGGTAATGAGAAGGTATTTTCGGGAATACTTGTTTCAGTTTGTACTTTTGCAGAGGGAATGCTCACCTGAGCTTTTTCCATACTTCTTTCAATATCAGCATCACTCTTTTTTTCCTTTAAGGATGTCCTGCCAAATGCAGGTATTCTAAATTTTGGCATTTTAAACCATCCCTGATGTTCTTCAGTCCGAACTTCTTCAGCTTTTATTTCATGTTCTTCTTTTAATTTGATTTCTTTGTCCTCAAGACTCTCAATAGCTCCCTCTGTCCTTGGTTTAGACACTGACTGGGGGCTTATGTCTACTTTTGGAGCTTCAATGCCACCAGTCAGATCTTGCGGTGTTTTTATCTTACAAACAACTACTCCAGGATCTGACATATCAGATAAAAGTTCTGATGCTGGAACTCCCGCAGCAGTGTCAGCAATTTCATTTGTTATTTTTAGCTGAGGTTGTTCAGCTTCTAGTTTTGGAGAGCTGATCTCTGCCTCTGGGCATTTCCCTTTTGTTAGGGAGATTCCAAACTTTGGTTTCTGGAATTTGGGAATTTTCATCTTCCCTTCAGGACCTTCCAATTTCATTTTTCTTCCATCCACAACTGATGATCTTTCTGTTACTATATCAGGGCTCTTCAGTTCAACTGAAACTTCTCCTTTGGGGAACTTAATACCTGTTTTTTGAACGTTACATTCCTCGGTAGAGCTTGACTTTAGGTCAACCTGTTGAAAACTCCCCTCTGAGGGAGTCAGAGCAGCATCAATCTTTGCTGAGCTGATTTCCATTTTGCTTTGAGAAGTTTCAGTTTCTATTTTGGAAAATTCCGAAGTGTGGAACTTAACATCAGCCACTTTTATGTTTATTTGTGCCCCTTCTTCGGTCCTTTCAGAATGACTTCTTTCTACATCAGGTATCTGAATTGAATCATCACCCTCTCTTTCTGTTTTAAGAAGAGTAGCATCAACTTCAACTTTTGACAAATGAGACTGAGATTTTGGAACCTTGATCTTGGAGAGTGAAATTTTAGGCATGACAAATTGAGGCTTTTTAATTGGACTTTTTTGTTCAACTTTTCCCATAGATATTTCCATATCAAGGGCTGTCCCACTACCTTCATCATCCACTGCAGTTCCTCTCACTTCTGTGTCTATTCTGCTTGACATTACAGCAAGCTTTTGGTCTTCCAGGTTTGCTCCGGAATCCAGTTTAACACTTGCTTCCTTCTTTGGTGACCAACTGAAGGATGGAAGTTTGAATTTTGGCATTCTGAAATGTCCTTCTTTCTCTTCTCCATCTCCATCTGGCTTTATTTCCCCTTTGATTTTTAGTGCTGAATCTGAATCCTGAATATCACTGTCTGGTTTTCGAATAGAAATGTCAGCTGAAGGGAGGTGAACATCAACCTCTAATGCCTTACTGTCAATTTTGGTCATTTGGACTTGAGGGCTGTAAGTCTCTATTCCTGTGCCACATTCCACCTCCAAGTTTGGTCCTTCAACAACAGCAATGTCAGATATTTCTACTGTTGCTTTTAGCTGAGGAACCTTGACTTCTGATTTGGATTGGCTGACCTCCTTTTCTGGCCCTTTCCCTTTAGAAAGTGTAATTCCTAACTTTGGCATTTGGAATTTAGACATTTTTGTTTTCCCCTCAGGACCTTCACCTTTTATTTCTACATCGCTCACAGATATTTCACTTGATGTTCTCTCAACACTTGTGTCAGGACTCTTCATCTCAAGTGAACCTTCAGCTGTCATCTTAATATCTGAGGTGGAAAGGCTGGCATCAGCAGCAGCTGATTTCAATTTTAGATCATCTTCTTCACACATTGGAAGTATGACCTCACCTGTAGGCCTGCTAATATCCATGTCTATTTCAGGAGCTTTGATTTCTGGTTTGGAAAATTCCAAAGTTGGGACCGTAACTTTTGGCATTTTTATGCCTATTCCTGAACTTTCTCCACTAACCTCTTTCTCAGATTTCTGTATTGAAATATCTTCTTTTTCTTGTTTGGAACCACAAACATCAGTCCCCTGTACAGGCAGAGAGACTTGGGCTTTCTGACCCTTAATTTTAGGGAATGAGATCTTTGGCATGGTAAATTGGGACCTCTTACTTCTAACCTTTTCACCATCTTTTTCTATAGACGTATCAAGTTCTACATGAACGTATTGATTCTCAGGAGTAGGAAAAGTTAATTCAGAGCCTGTGTCTCCAGATAAAGTAGACAAAGAGGGCTCTTCCAGATGTTCCTCAGCCTGAGACGGGACAATAGCTTCTTTCTTTGGTGACCAACGAAATGAAGGCAGTTTGAATTTTAATGATTTAGATTTGTTTTCTTTCTCCTCAGTATCCTTCTCTCCAGAAATTACTTCGTGTTCTGCCTTGCAGCCTAAATCTGCGTCATGGATTTCTCCTTCTAATTTTGGCATGGTAACTTCCATTGGTGAGATATTGGGATCCAGTGTTGGTGCATCCAGAACAACTTGAAGTGAAGGCTTGTGCACCTTGACACCTAATTTGGCATCAGAGATCTGAGTTGGTTTTCCAATATCAGGATCAGTTATATCAGATGTTATCCTTCCTTCGGAAATATCAGATTCCACTTTCAAACCAAAGTCACTTTCTGATGCTTTACCCCTAGACCGAATTACAAATTTTGGTTTTCGGAATTTAGGAATTTTAACAGTAACATCTGTGTCACTAAAAGATACTTCAGCAGCTCTTGTTTTACTTTCTGGCTTAAGACCTTCTTGCTCCACAGAACCATCTTCATTTAAAATTTCAAAATCTGAAAGATTTTCATCTGCAAGAGGTGGTATTTTTGATTCAGATTCTCTTAGATTAATCTTGTATTTAATAAGTGCAATGTCCTCTTTTTGAAATGAGGACTCAGGGTCAATTACACATGAACTCAAATCAACTTTGGAGAAACCCAAGCTAGGAATTCTGAACTTAGAAGTTTTAGATATATTGTCTCCCTTTATTTCTGGCAAAGGTTTAGAAATTAAACTACCTGAAAGAACAGCAGGAGCCTCCTCTGTAACAGAACAACTAAGAGATTCTGACACTGAAACATCAACTCTGGACTTACTTTCTGCATGAGGCTTGAAACTTCTGGAAAGAGAAACCTTAGGCATTCTAAACAGAGAACTTCCAGATTTACCCATCTCGTCCTCTTTAGAAGACAAAGATTCTACATGAACTTCAAAAGTAGGCACCTGAACCTCAGACCGAGGTAGGGTCACCTCCACTTCGGTGGTTCCTGAGGGCAGTGTCACATGGGGCTCCTTGAGGCTCACGTCCACCTCGGCCGCTCCCGAGGGCAGCGTCACCTGGGGCTCCTTGAGGCTCACGTCCACCTCGGCGGCCACGCTGCCCTTGGCCTCTCTGCTGCTGGACCAGCCAAAGGAAGGCATGCCGAACTTGGGCATCTTGAACTTGCCGTCCTTGCTCTTGCCGGCCTCCTTCTCTGGGGCTTTTGCTTCCCCTTCCAGGCTGAGGCCCGCCTCGGGCGCCTGCACGTCAACGCTGGCCTTGGGAAGGGTGACGTCCACGGAGGGCATGCTGATGTCCACCTTGGGAGCCTTGATGTCAGTTTTTGATAGTTGTTCGTCCTTTTTTATTTCAGTTTCAGGTGTTGACATCAATATTTCTCCATTAATGTTTGGAAAATCATTTTCTACCTTGGGAGATTTTATTGTTATTTTTTTTGGACTTGGCTGGTTGACTTTTGTCTTTTCTTTGATATCGTTTTCTTTTATTTTTCCTTTTGATATCTCAGTTTCAATTTCAAGACTTGGAACCTTCATTTCTCCTGTTGATCCACATATCTCTGCTTCTGGTCCTTCTTTTAGTGTTGCCATTTTTCCTTCCATTTCACTTATTTGTCCTTCAGTTTTCCCTGTTTCATCCTTGGTAGTTGACCAGGTAAATGTAGGAAATTTTAACTTTGGCAGTCGGAATTTGCTTTCTTTTCCCTCTATATCTTTTTCTCCTGTCTTCATTCCAATTTCTAACTTTACGGTTTTGTCACCTGTGGGCATGCCATCTTCTTCTATCCTTTCCTCTTTTACAGTATCTTCTGATTCACCTGTGCTTTCTTCTCTCGCTATTTTCATGTCCGTTTTAGGTGTTTTGGTCATTCTGAATGATGGTATTTGTATTTTCCAAGAAGATACTTCTGGTTCTGCATCAGATATGCGTGTTTTCACATCCAAATTCTTACCATCCTCAGAAGTTGAATCAGTTGTTTTTTCTGGTATTGAATGTGTAACATCACTTCCCTGTTTGGTGGTTTCAGTCTCTGTCTCTTTTCTTTTGGGCAGTGAAATCCCAAATTTTGTTTTCTGAATTGTTAATATCTTTGTGTCTTCTTCTTCTTGTTTTTCTCCTGCTTCCATTGTGTCAGATGTGTTTAATTCTGCTTTTGCAGTGCCTATTTCTAGGCCTTTTACCTGTACAGATCCTTTAGCTGTGTAACCCATCAAGTCTATGTTAATTTCACTTTCTCCTTCTTTTTTAACTGGTGTTCCTTTCTGTTTCTTTTTTCGGGATTTTGATGATGCCTGTGGTGTTTTTTCAGTTGGAGTTTCTTTCAGATCTGGTTTTTCTAAACTGGGCTTTGATATCTCTGTTGTTATGTCTGGTACTTCAGGTAAAGTAAATTTTGATGTTGATTCCTTGTCTTTTTCTTTTTTAATGCTTATTTCAACTTCAGGGCATTGTTTTACATGAGATGGGATGCCATTTTTCATATCTTTTAAGTCTTTTGTTAAAGTTTCATGTACCTCCCCTGTTTT